TAACCTAACCATTCATTTTCCCCTCTCTTTTTTTATAAAAGAAAAATACTTCTCACTCTCCTATCTTTTCTTCCTTGTACCCTCCGAAGAGAAAACTCTAACTCGTCATCGGTAATTTCTTTCACTAAATCATCGGCAAAAATCCTTAATTTTCATCGCTTTTTTCTTCCTTTTTTTTCTATCAAATAATTTTAAATATGGTTCTTTATAAATCCAAAGCTAATTTTATTTATTTATTTATTTATTCTATAATTCTTTAATTTTATGTATCCATTTTTTAGGGTTTTATTCTCTTTAAATAAAATTTTGATAATTACATCTTATGATTTAGAAAAGATTGACAATTTCTAGTCATTATGGAGAAATGAGATCTTCCGTCAATAGAACCCGATAATGCAATCCATTTTTGTATTAATTTATGGTGACTTGAGGTTTTTATGCATACATAAGATGCAATAACAATTTTATTTTAGGAAGTCCTTGATAGAAAAGATCGAAGTATCAACTTGCCGTTTACAAAAGATCATATATCAATCTTTTTGTTGGATTTTTTGCTTAATTTTTTTTATTTGTTAAGTTGTAATTTTTATAGTCAATGGATATTGGAAGTAGCAATGTATGTTGTTTTAATTTTGATTCAATGAAATATCCGTATTCCATGATAAAAAAAATAAGAAAAAAAATTCATTCTCAAAATAGAAGTATGTTTAAAAATTCCATTCTAATAAAATGTTTTATTCCAAATGTCTAGTAAACTCTCACATATAAATAATAAATATCATTATATTTATCATATTTATTTTCTAAAACACATATTGTCAAATATAACTAGCCGATAGTATTGTTATATATTTGATAAGGTCATGATCCTCATATTAAGATTGATAGTTAGATGACTTTTTAATCCAAATTGATCATATGATTGATATAATTTTTTGTACGTTAAATCGAGCCAAGTATTTACAAAAAAAAAAAAGTGTTCTCTTCTAGTGTTTAAAGCACTCTTGAATAAGTTAACTTATGAAAACCGGTGTATCGTTTGAGTAAGTTCTAAAGAATTTAACTCTTACATAAAGAATATATGTGATGTTATATATATTTTGAACTTAAAAAGCAAAACTTATAATAATTGGTGTTAACCTTTATATAAGTGGAGTGTGATCAACTTGCATAGCATGAAGAACATATTGGTTCCTTCTCTTGTGTTTAACAACTGTTGACATCTACTTAAAGGTTGAGTATGTTTTAGGTGAATGCCATTGTCTAATGACGCATGTATAGTCATGTTTGGTGATGATATAATTGAGACATTTTAGAAAATCACGCATTCATTAAATGTATGTTTTTTTTTTCCTAACAAGTGAAAAGAAGGGTTTCTTCTTTATTCGTCCACTCGTCCATATTGATTCTCGGGTCTTTATCTAGTTTTAATGCTCCCGATAAATGCTCGGGGTTGTCCTACTCTTAATGAAACCTTATCCAAGTGATTTTTAAGTGGAATAGCAAAAACATGTGTCGTGATTATGACTATATGAATATATCAATATCTAATTTATATTTTTTAGATTAACTAGTTTGATAGTATCCTGTACTACTGGTCAAACAAAGAATTATACCAAAACTTCATTTTTTTTTTAATTTGAGTACTATAACTAATTTTTAGTTTATAATCAAGCTGGTCAATCCCATTGACCAACATCCGGGTACACATGACATGCATGTGATGGTGAAATGACTGAAAAATATCAAAACTATATTAAATTGCCAAACGTAAAATCTTTACCTAATATTCTGCTTAATTTCAATCAATATCATGTTCAGTATTTTTTTCTTTCCAAACAAATCTAAAATATTTGCCCAATCTCCTGTCTAATGTCAATTAAGATCATTTTTATTTCTTTCCTAACAAATCTAAAATCTATGCCCAAATAAAGATGGCGATGAGAGTTATGGCTGGCGTTGGGTTTGATCGAAGAAGAGGAATGGATGTTACTGATGTGGGGTTTGATCGAAAAAGGGGGATGGTTGTGGCTGGAGGGTTTGATAAGATGGAGGTAATTTGTTTTTGGGTGGAGGTAATTAGTTATTTTGCTATTAACAATAATCATAAAATCAACGTGTCTTTTATTTATTAGATTATGTTACCATCACGTGCGAAAAATATATTCGGATGTTAGTCTATGAGATCGACAAAATTGATTGCAAATTAAAATATAATTATAGTATTTAAATTGAAAAAAATATAATTAGGATACCAGCCTTTGTTTGACCAATAGTTCATGATCCTGAGTAACCAATTAGCCTATTTTTTTATACATTAAAGAAGCCAATAGAAATTCTTTGCCAGTATAATTAGCCTGTGAGAGTTATATCTAATTCATATTTTTATACATTGAGAGGCCCCTGTTACATAACAGCACATTTCTGCACATGATTCGTTAATAATTCAAAAACATTATTATGTTGAACCCAGCTTTGAGGCTTTTTAAGACGCACTCAAGTCCAATACAAAACCTGTCAATAATATTGGATGGCAACGTCCGGTTATAGCTAATTGGCCCATCTGTCCCCATGTGCAACCTTGATCGGTACAAACGGATGACCCAGGTGTACTGCACACAACAGGGTATATTGGTCCATTTAATAGCCACATGACTCTTTATCTTCTTCACTTTCACCGACTATATATCATATATGTATACCATACTATCATTAGTATTTTTGAGTTAGCTTTCATGTACACTGAATCTAAATCACAATCACTCTCCAGTCAGATTTTAAGAAAGTTATCTATTTTAAAACTAATATATTCATAAAAACTTCTTTCCCATGGTCTCTTTAAAATTTTGGACAATAACGTAGAAGGTAAAATATAATTACCATGGGGAGCTTGTAAAGGGGTATGCAGATTGCATATACAACGGAAAACCAATAGGTGCGTTGGTGAGCTAAATTGTCTTTGATGAGGGGAGAATCAGTTTGATTCCAACTCCAAATTGCAAACGGACAAATTAACACGGCTACAAAATCACTTGGAGCTTTTTTAGCTTCTGGCGCCGCATAATACGTGGCGCTTTCTTACGTTGGTTTCTCTGCATTTTTTTTTAAAAAAAACTTTTGGCTCTCTCTCTCTCTCTCTCTATTCTTATACGACCCAAAATTACCAGACTATGTGTGAGGACTCCTTTGTTTGTTAACGTAAATACAAAAAAAACCATGATTATTTTACGATTACAATCCGAGAATATCGTAAATGCCCATGAAAAAATCAGACCCAACCTTATTAGTATCATAGTGAGCAATTTGGTTGTGATGCCTGCTTAATTTTGTATGTGTGTGTGTGTCTCACTGCAATTTGGTACAGAAATTGGTATTGATAAAATAATTCATTGGCTTAAAAAAAAAAAAAAGTTAAACAACAAATATTAGTGTAATAGTACTAGAAGGAAGGAGATCTAACGTATTAAGATTTGGGACTTCAACAAAGAGTTTTTAGGTTTAAATCCTCGAAAAGGGAACGTACATTCATGAATTAAAGATGATTCTCGCTAGTTGTATAGTTCAGAGTCTAATGAAACTCCCATTGAAGACAAAAAGAAAAGAAAAATGTAGAGTATTAGTGCTTAACATTAAATGCTTAAAATGTGGGAGGTGATAGTTGAACACAGTCTCCTAAACTTTTATCCCAACAAACCATCCCGGTCAGCAAGAGAGATTATCTCCCTCCTCCTTCGCTTTTTTAGGAAGAAAAAAAAACCAAGTTTCTGCCATTTTTTCGTTGTACAATCGAAATTAACTAATAACTTGTCCTTATGCACTATTAAATAATGGGGCAAAAAGTGAAACTGGAACTGGCAATAGAAAATTGGACTTTTTGTGTTTCTAAACTAAACAAATCAACGGACGAAAAGCTAAAGTGTTATCTAACATTCAACAATATACACTTTATAATTACTATCTTACGAAATCTTTGTGGTGTTGAACTCTAAATTTTCCGTGTCTTACGTTTGCAAAATCTTCCTCCAAATAAATTACTTTTATAACAACGTAAGTATCTTGCTTCAATTACCATACTATCCTCAACGGCATTATAGGTAATCTTCAGACATGACTTTTCTCTCAACCTTTTTTCACCTTATAGTGCTTAGTCTAATCAACTGTCAACTGGTGAGAGTCAACTCTTGGAACTTGCAAAAGAAGTCCATAGATTTAATGGATTAAATCCCTTAATCAAAATTAGTGTTGTATAGTAAAATTTACAGTAAGATTTTGATTAGATTTGGGTAGGCTTTGAAAGCAGAGAAAGCATGTGGTGGACAATCAATATTTACTTGATGGGGAAAGATTGGGAATAGACTATTGACACTAATCAATGAAAAACTTACCAAACGAGGAGAAGACAAGTAGCAGAAGAAATTGCCAGAAAATGCAAAAACTGAAGACTCAACACTTGAATAAAGCAATTATCTCATGTTACCCAGAAAGAAAAGAAAAAAGCTTCCATGATATCTCATTGACACTGTTACAAGCAACCAATATTCTGCAATACTGAAGTAAAGAGCAAAAACAAATCTCTGTATTGCTGTAATAAAAAACAAGAATCTCTGTACGTACGTAATTACAACGCCTAGCCATATGAACTCTTCTCTTTTAAAATTTAATTTCTTCTTCTAAAGAGAAAAGACGAACTAAAAAGGATTAAAAATGGTGTGCATACATACAGTCATACAGAGATTAAGGCAATACAAAGTTTTCCATGGTGTAATCACTATAAAACAAAATTCTCAGCTTCTATTCACATCACCATCCTCCATTTTCATGATCCTCCATACAAAAGAAAAGGACTTAACATACCAAAATACCCCAGTTTTTCCCTCTGAAATTACAAAAACTAATCAAAATTCTAGAACGAAAATTATGAGAAAAACGTGGGTATTTTGGACTGGATTCAGCAAAAATACCGAAAAGAAAGAAGAAAAATTGAAAATTGAGTAATTCAACTAGTTATGGAGAGGATCTGGGCAACTGGGCACTCTTCTTTTGTTCTCTTCAAATCCTTTCTCAGTTTTGTTGAAACCATAAGTACTAGCTCTTTCATTGAAGTACTTCCTGAAGTGCTCTGCTTGGCTCTTATAATTACCTGTAGTAATATTGCTGATCTCTTTAAACTTTGCCATGCCATTCTCTCGAAGGATCCTTATTGCTCCTGCCTTACAGTTGCAATCACTGCAGACCCAAATCTGTAACACAAAAATGATCAATACCGCCACCAGAGATGAAGAGTACATGATTCTCCTGGAGCTGCCAAACGACATCTCGCTTGATAACCCACATAAAGCTTTCAAAAACCCCACTCTTATTAACTTCCAATTCTATTTGACACTCTCTTATAAGTCTTTCTCTCACGAAATCTTGCTAGCTGGCTGAAACGAGGTTTGGTTGCTTGGATTCCAGTCTCAAAAATCGCCCTATCTCTATAACTCTCTCACACACTATCATGTATATGAAGGTACTATAGAAAAGCGAAAGAAAAGACGGCTATTTTGGAGGAAGGAAGGAGAGAGCGGATGAAAAGCCTGAAAGCGAGAGCCTCTCACTCTTCTTCTCTCATGCACACTCACGGCCCACGTGATGAGAAAAATGGCAGGTTATTATTGTTATTATTTTTTTCCATAAATTTATGGTGTACGAGCATTATTGCGAACAAGACTGATCTTTTTAAGAGACAACTTCAACGTTTTGTCCATGCTTCACCGCTTATTTACTGAAACTAACATTGACTACGTAGCCTTAACCATGAGAACTCAGTATGAATTCTGCTGCATGTCGGTCAATATGTTGAAAAATCAGCTCCACGCGCCTAGATCTTTTCTAGAGTGCTGTCTTTCCACTCGCTACCACTTAACTCTAGTTCAGCAATCATTCTCTTCGTTATTAATTACATATTTATTTATTGCTTTTGTGATTGATAGCAAAAGTTGCTTCTGTAATGTTCTTTAATTTTTTCCTTGTTCAATTATTAAGTTACACAAGCCAGGATCACATATTCACGAGTCTATCTACCTTCATTTATCTTGGAGTAATTGGGATTGGTAATGGATTATATAAAAAAATATTTGGTGAGTGTATTTTATTCTATTCTTTTATATCTTTAGATTTGATGATTTCTTGATTAAGTTATGTATTCCTTTTTTAACCACTAACCACAACTCAAACATGAAACATTATATGAGAAGTATAAATCTTTTATTTTTAACATGATTAGTTTATATTTAACTAAATTAGAAAAATAAATTTTATTTTAGTTAAAAAAACTAATTCAAAAAAACCATTTGCCTTAAAATAAAAATGATAATATACAAATGAATATTTTTGTTGATGGTCACTGTCACGTGAAATTTACAAAGAAAGATTGTATAAAAAAAAAATCAAGTTATAGATCTTCTTACAGCAGCAGTACGTCATGTTTGTGAAAATAAAGAAGAAAACGATTCCATTGGTAAAATTTTCCCACGCGCCTTACCGTGGGACAGTTGGACCAAAACTCTATATATATATAATTAGTACTGCAAAGATTGATATATTAATTAACCGTTGAGGAGAAACATGGGGTTTGGACGAGGCTGGCCGGGAATCTCGCGGCGGTGTTGGAGACATTGGTCGTGCTTCACGTATGTAAGAAGTAAATCCTGTCTGAATAAATGAAGTCCGTACGATCTTAGGTATCAAATTTGATGCAATCTTGTGAATTTTTCCTCTTTCAGAATAAATAAATGTATGTTTATTTTTGTAGCTTGCAATTTGCAGCATCCGTTACAAAAAGAAGGACGGCCTAGCTTGTGAGGTTTTTAAAAGGCTAGTTTTGCATCAATTAAAAACACGGATGATGCCTTGACCTTTAAGCCAAGTTTGAAATCAACTCTGATAAATCTGTGAATTTTTCCACATGGGATATATATATAATTTAAGAATGTCTTGGTACTGATGTTCCATTTAAGATTTTAAGGAGTTTATTATGACTGGAGAATGTGGAATTTCTCACAACATTAGCTGGAGATTAATTAAATTAATTATGAATTCTATGGATGAAGATAGCTGATTAGCACATGAATTGTTTTAAAATATTTTATGATTATTTAATATTGACATGAAAACTTCTATCAAGTAATTTCATTGATTTTTTTTTTTTTTTTTGGATTTGATTGTTTAGTTTTACTGAAATATTTACCATCAATATTAAATATTTATAGGATTCTTATAATCTCCATGCATGTAACTTCACATCAAGTGAAAATACTGGTGCATGCTCTCACACAAACTGTAGCCTGATTTAGAAAGACGTTAGTTTCGTTTTAAAATTTATTAATATTTAAACTGGGATTAACAATACGAGAAATATGAATAACGCCATTCTAAATTAATTATTGTTGGAAAATCTAGAATTTAACCCGATATCACAAAAAATTGCTTGTGGAATTTCTCTGGCGTCTCCTCACTCGCAATTCCACTAGCTATCTCCTTCTTTTCTCCTACTTGAAAGTTCGAATAATCACTCGTTACATGATTTATTGTTAAGTATTACATGGATGATTTTCGCTGGAGCTGCTACCTAAAAAATGGATCTTTTAACTCATTTGGTTAGAGGAATTGGGCACCACCCTAATCAGACATACATTTCGACTTTCATATCCCTGATGAGTTTTTATTTTCATTCCCTTGCAGGATTTGAATGAAACAAAATTTAAACTGGCGTCTGTTTTTAATTAAAACAGAGTACGACTGAAACACTGTAATTTAATTAAGGAAATGTCATTTCGACGGCCAAAAATTTGTATTTTCATGCAATGTCATTTCCATGGCAATAAATTGACAAGACTTAAGCGAAGAGCAGTAATTCTCAATGTTCGTATAGTAAAAACCGATCAGATACATTGGATACATCAACGATCTCTTGTTAATTTGGCAGTTCCATGCTAAATCAAGGGGTATTCTCGGGATAATATTTTATCATCAGAGTTTGAACTGTCTGGTATGCTCATAATTTCGTCTTTTATCGACTCTGATAGCGCATAAAAAATTTAAAAAAAAGAGTGGATTTTGTTTTGGTCTATCACTGAAAAAGAAAAAAGAAATGGAAATTTGGACCCAACTCTAAATCCCATATAGGTGAATGGAGAGGAGGCAAAATCTGATCCCATGCAGGCAATAAAGTTGAAAACTTATAGCTTATGCTTGGACTTTGTACTCCTCTTCGTGTCCTTTACTACTCAATTTTGCCCTTTTTAGACTTGCCATTACTCTCTTTTGCCTCTTTCCACTGGCCCGTTTCCCCTATCCCTTCCTTGGAGAGTAAATTAAAAATTTAAGTCAGCAACGTGGCACTTTCGTAAAGGGATAAATCATTGGGACGCATTGCTTCTCTTTGCACATGTCCGAGTGTCCATTTTGTACGCTCAGCGCATCACAATCTTGGCGATAGCCATTGGTCAGTGTATTAGGAGCAAGCTTCATCTGTACCATTAGCCTGCCATTAGACATGGCAAATTCCAAAGCAACTTATATTGCCATAATTATGCCATTTAGAATTCTTCCCTAACCTTGTCAATATCATTTCTAGATTTATAGTACTTGTACTAAATACATGAAAACCCTTATCTCATCAATTTATAAAATTTGAAAACCGAATAATTTTAGTACATTTTTAAGTTACTATATAATTTTATAAACAAAATATTTTATTAGATATAATGTATAAGTTCAGGTTTCCCTAAATTTAATTTTAAATAATTTAGCTAATTTTATTATATGTTAATTCATTTTTTCTTTTTTTACATAGCTCTAATCTACAAAATAAATAGATTGAATTGATGATGAATCTTGTCAAGCGTAAGGCTTTGGCACGTACAAGGATGGACTTGGGCATTTTAGCATAGCAAGTCCATACTTTGTCATTGAGATGCGATAGAAAAATTAGTTTTATGGGTTAGGAGTAGGGTCCGCTAAAAGAATGCTTGATTAATACTTTTTTTTAGTATTTACGAGAAGCTTGAAGTAGTTTAGCTCTTAAAAAAATTTATTTTTTTACGATTCAAATACGATCATCTAAACTTGGATAACATGACACGATTTTAACGACCAAATACCATTTTTAACTTATTATAAATATCAACTCGACATGATCACATCATTGTGAGGAAGGAGAACGTTTCTAAATCTCTAGCAAAAAGAACCTTTGAACTATCTCTCTCAAACTCTCTCATTCATACACTAAACATCACCTAAATCTCCATCTCTTTGGACTTTGTCCATCCACACGTCAACCACTCGATCCGCACTTTACTAGAACTACCTACTCCTCCTCCCACGTATCTCACTACTTGCATTCTTTTACTTGGTTGGTTGATGCTGCTTCTACAAATTACGAGCACTAGCTCTTTGTAACCTAACTTACCTACCAACTAGTCACTTGATCAATTTTCAAGAACCCCTCCACATATTTTGGCAAATCAAGAGTTAGCATTTGTGAAGAATTATTACACCTAATTTTTATCCTAATTAATTTGTTTAAATTTATGAGTTAAAAGAAAATATAAAAAAGAGAGAGAAAAGAAAAAAGAAAAAAAACAATTATTTGAAAAATGATTTGGAGGGTCTAATTAAAAGAAATAAGAAGTTTGAGAACCAAAGAAAAACTAATTGAAAAATAAACTATTATCAAGATAAAATTGATTGAAAGAAGTCGTACCACATTGCTTGCCATATAGTGTTGAATTCTACATCTCCCTTTGTTTTGTCACTTTAAAGCCAATAACTTAAGCTTGTAAAGTAGTAAGTAATGCATAGCTTTGAACTTAGTGCATATGGTACTTTGTTTTGAATTTCGAATTTATATTTGAGATTAAAATTAAATTGTGACATAAATTCAACTTGCTTTGGCTATGTAAATAACTAAGTGCTTCGTGGTTGAAAAATAAGATGAACTCTTTAATGATTAGGTAATGATGCCAATGATATAGAGCTTTAATAATGACATAGAACTTTTTGTCATATGTTGAGAATTTTTTTTCTTGCTTCATTTAACTTTTTTACTAAAGTATACAATAGGTCTTTCTTTTTGAGTTTACATAGTTCCTATGCCTACGGTAGAGGCATTAAAATCAACTTTAAAGATCTTTAAATAATCGGATAGTGATGGAACATGAGCCTCTATCTCTTTGTGCTTACAATTTCAAAACTCTTTTATGCCTTTTGTGCCCATCAACTTTTTTGCTTCAATAGTTCGATGATTGGGATGATGATTGTGCTAAATCCTTAT